TGTCAGCCGTAATTGTCGGAAACACCCACGCATCAAAATTGAAGACGGGATCCGGTGAAAATCTTGGTTGTACTTGACAGCGCACTATTCCCAAAACGTTTTGTACCCGAACACCACCGATTCCTGATACCGGGGCTGTCCACTTTTTCATCCGGAGTCCCAAACGATTCGTGCACTCCGAAGTAATAGCACTAATTTGTGAGGCTGAATCAATGAGCGCTCGCACCGTATGCAACACGCCAACATTGTCGGACATGTGTATGAGAGCTGTCCCGAGAATGACCGACGGTGACGTATTTTGTCCAAGACATGACGAAGTGTGGGCAACGTCCGGTTGCTTATCATCTGGTGAATTCTCCTCTTTTGACGGCGCAGCACGTCCAGCTGAATGCAGAAGCGAATGATGCTTTCGGGAGCATTGACCGCATACATTCGAAGACTTACACTTGGTCACCCAGTGTCCTGTACGTAGGCATCGAAAACAAATCTTATTGTCTCGCGCCCAACTGTTACGATGTTCTTGCGTCCAACCCTTGAACTTTGGGCATGACGTTAGACCATGATTACCCGTGCAACATTTGCAAGACGGTGATACCTTTGACGGGTTGTTGCTTGTAACCATAGAGGTATGCAGTGGCGGCTTCCTCGCATTATGTGATGCAGTCTTAGTAGATTTGTGATAGTTTGATTGTTTCGATGTAGACTCCGGTGGAATGCATTCTAATATGGCCACACGAGATTTTACAAACTTCAACAACTCTTGTACCGTAGGAAACCCGTTGGCTAGTTGGGCTTCAAATAACTTGATGCTATAGGTAGGCAAGCATCGAGCGGCTATGGAGAATAATATAAAATCGCCTAAATTTGGTAGATGCAGGGACTCGAGCAACGATACGCCTTCATCGAACACCACTAACAATTTGTTTAACTCAACTAAATTTTCTGAAGGAGCTCGTGGTGCATTTATCAGTTTCTCGATTAATGAGCGTGCCACCAGACGGGGTTTGTCAAATCTTTCCTCAAGAGTGGACCACGCCAGCCTGTAATTGAGGTCTGATACCGGAATGCCTCGAATAGCATCTCGAGCAGCCCCCTTGCAACACCCAACCAAGTAGTAGAACTTATCGATATCGGATAAATATGTTCGATTGTCCACAGATGTTGTGAATCGATCACGAAATGTAACCCACTCATAAATCGCACTGTGAGTACATTAGTGTAGTAACTCAAAAAATGACGATTTTGAGTTATACATGTTTTCTTATGGTAAAAATAGCATTCTTTGCAATGCACTAGTGTATTATGTCGTACTGGCAAAATTAAAAGCGTTAAACAATATAATATGGTACAACATTAAAGGAAATAAATAAATTCAATCCATGCAGTAGTGTATTATTTTGAGTTATTACTATAATGCACAAACGTATGTTCAAAAATACTGGTGCATTAGTGTATCATCTCAAAATAACATAATTGTTGATAATAATATTATTATAAAGAATTATAAATAGAACATGATAACAATATTGTATTATCTTAACAACAAATTATACGTTCTGTAATATTAATTTATTACTACGCCTTGTTACTGTCATACTTTTTTATTAATTATTACATGGTGAGTTTGTTTTAATTAATAATAATGGCGTTTCAATCTCGAACACAACGAATGCTTTCTTTAGCAAAATCAAGCAAAATTATCTATCCTCAGCAACTAATTTCAGTCTCGATGGTAAGTACCTATAATAATAATAATATGATTAGTTTTGTTTTTGCCCTCATACAATTAAAACTGAATTTTTTATATGAATTAATAACTATATTTGTATGTGTATAAACCACAATATTACATTATTATTGTATAATAGAATGAAAAAGACAGTTCATTATTTGGCACTGATGAAGACCTAACTTTTCATGAGATACCAGAACCTAAGGTATAAATATCATAATACTATATAATTTAAATATTGGTGTATTTTTATATCTATAAATAATAATAGTTAGATACGATCAAACTAACTATATTAACATAATAATTGTAGTATTATTATGTGAACATAAACGAAGATATATTATTTTAGGTTCATTAAATTATTAGCATAGTACATATTATTATATAAATAGTTAACCAACTTGTAAAGTTGTAACTTTTAAGGATTATACATTATTAGTTTTATTAGGTAACTATAACAATTTGACATTTTGTTTTCAGTGTCCAGATGAATACATCTTTGATAAATGGCTTCCAACATTTCCTATCGCAGAAATACAAGATAATGATTTGAATATTAATGATCAAGTTTCTATGATCAATTTGAGTAATGAAAATTTTGAAATCCCAGAGGTAATATTGTACTAACTATATTTTTTTTAAATTAGGCAACTGTCTTCCTTGCATTTTAACTTTAATATTTCAATTTATTAAGTTATAAAATAATTAGTTATATTATATTATTTACAAAAAATAAAGTATCCCAACAAAATATAACATAAGCCATAGTAATATAATTTCATTTTCCAGTGTGTTAATTCAAACAATTTAAAAGAAGACAACACAATTGAGGATAACAATGACAAATTTTCTATCCATAAAGATGAAGAAAATATTAATTTAGGTTACTTTGATTGTAATATAGAGTTACCTTCAATCGACATTAATGCGATTCAAGATTTTGAATATGAAGATACCAACATTATTATTCTTGAAGACAACCCTGCAGCTCTCCCAATAAATAATGAAACTCCTCAAAAAGAAAAAAGATCAAGAAAAAGGAAAAGGAATCAAAATATGTGGAAAAGAGAAATTAAGAAAAACAAAAGAAATTTAGGAGATTCTTATATTACATCAAAAGGAATAGAAAAACCAAAAAGGAAATTACTAGAACCTTGTGGAGTAACCTGTAGACTTAAGTGTTCTGAAAAAATTGTTCATGAAGAAAGGGAAATTATTTTTAACCAGTTTTGGGCACTTGGAGATATCAACAGACAGCGAGATTTCATAAATAATCACATGGAAATCATAGAACCAAAGTACCAATACAAAAAAATTGATTCTAAGAGGACAAGTAACTTTCAATTTTATTTCAATACTGGTGTAAATACCCCAAGAACCCGTGTATGTAAGAAGTTTTTCAAAGCAACATTAAACATTAATGATACAAATATAACAACTGCTAGGAAAAAGCTTACTGAATCTGGAAGTACTGAAAGAGATGCAAGAGGTAAACACATTGAAAATAGAATAATTGTTACTGAAGAAGCTAAGGTTATTGTTCGAAATCATATTAATTCTTATCCAAGAATAGAGTCACACTATCTTAGAAGCCAAACTACCAGAGATTTTATTGATGGTAGCTTAACACTTTCTGAAATGTATCGTATGTATTTAACTTTTTGTTCTGATAATTCAATTCTTCAACCTGTGAAAAAACATACTTACAAAGACATCTTCAATCATGAATTTAATATTGGATTTTTCAATCCTAAGAAAGATCAATGTGCTGTTTGTGAAGAGTATAAAAATACAACTACAAAATCTGAAGAATTAATAAACAAATTTGAAAAACATATTAAGGCCAAAGAAAATGCTAGAAATGAAATTATTAAAGATACTACTGCAATAAGCACTAATAAATATAATATAGGAGTATATTTTTATGATCTACAAGCTGTATTGCCAACACCATCTGGTGAAGTATCATCTTTTTATTATAAGAGAAGACTTTCTACATACAATTTTACAGTTTTTAATTCATACACTAAAGAAGGGCATTGTTTTGTATGGAATGAGAGTACTGGTAATAGAGGAGCTGTAGAAATAGGCAGTTGTATCATTAAATTTATTGAAACATTTGTAACAGATAAAGATAAAAAATTAATATTTTATTCTGATAATAAATTGTAATGGTCAGAATAAAAACCGGTTTATTTACTCAGTTTATATGTATATTGTGATGTTCTCAGATGTACTAGAGATAACTCACAAATTTTTAACTACTGGTCATACTCAAATGCCAGTTGATTCTATGCACAGTCGTATTGAGACACAAAAGCAACGTGCATTGAAAAGTGGTCCAGTGGGTTTCAATAATTAAATTGGCTAAAAAAAATGGAAAACCGTATACCACAACTGAAATGGATACAAAAGATTTCTTCGACCTATCTACTTTATGTAATGAACTTGGAACAAATTTTAATGTTAATGAGCAAGGAGAAAAATTTTTGATGGGTGACATTGTAGAAGTGAATGTTAAAAAAGAAAAACCATTTATTGTACATTATAAGACAGATTTTTCCCAACCTGATTATAAAACAATTGATATACGCAGTTACAGTAAACGGAATAAATCTTACCCTGAAAAAAGTACCATAATTATGAAACAAGCTTATACAGAACCACCAAAAATATCAATTGCAAAAAAACAAGATTTACTTTCTTTATGTCATTCCAACTTAATTCCAGAGCAGTATCATGAGTTTTATGACAAATTATCTACTGAAAATAAAGAAAGTACCAGACCAAAGTCAAGTAGTCAAATCAAATCAAACATCAAGAAAGTTGCTCCAGCAAAAAAAAATACTACAAAAAAAACTATAAAAAAAAATTATTTTAAGGTTTTTTAATTTTTATTTAATAAGTATTTCACTAAGTATAATAATCATAAATGTTTGATTTTTTATAATTTTAATTAAAAGGACTTCATTTAAAATACAACTGAGTTTTTTTGTTAATGTTTTTAGTTACTAAGTTATATTCTACATTTTAATAGGCATTTTAAAGTAAATATTAAAATGCAATAGTGTAGTAACTAAAAAAAAATTATTTAATTGATAAAAAACATTGTTTAATAGTATTTAAAAACAGTAAATTTGTTTAAAACACTTAATATAATTAATAATATTATATAATACCAAAGTTTCAAACATTTAAATAAAATACTTTTTCTTTTATCAGTGATTTAAGATATGAAAAACTTAAAAACTCGATTTTCTCAAAATCATGCATTTTTAGTTACTACACTAATGTACTCACAGTGCGAAATATCGCCCTCAAACGTGGGTAGTGGTATCTCAGGTAAGCGGGTAGGTTTGATGACTTGACTACCACTAGACCTCACAGAACCTGCATTAGTTAATTGGACGGCACCTGGGCTCACATCTATGGTAACATTGTCGGTAATCACTTGTTCGTCTGACTTTTTTACATTCGGGCCGACATCGTTTAATGACACCTGTGAACCGCCGTGTGTAGACGTTGTTATTTGGTCGGGGCAGTATTGCATAAAACGATGGGCGGTTGCTTTTGAAAACGAGACCAATTCGAACATCTCGACGCCCTCCGTGTCGGGATATTCATTGTCAAGCTCTAAATCCAACAAATAATTCAACAATGCTTCATCTTCGATGGTAAAGGACGACCACAAATGATCGAGGGATTCAACCATTACCAATAGCTGGGGTACCACAGACGTGTCCTCCGCACTCCGAACGGCCACACTATGGACTGCACGTATTATATTGACGTAACTCTTGCGTTTGACTTCACAACTACGTTTCAAGCGCTTGACCCGCGCGACTTCTTCGTCACCAGCCATGACGACGGATTTTTTTTTTATATACCAATAAAATTAAGTACTAAGCGCAAAATGAAATAATTTAGCCCAAAGTAGATTATCACTCGACCAAGGACGCGCTTAACGCGACAAAATGATCAACATTATTCAACAAATTAAAAAAAAGAGCGCGGCAAGTAGCGCGCTTAACGCGACAAATAATAATAATAAATTAGTAGACGCAAAATCAAGATATAATAAATCATACAGCAATAGAACGCTTTTACGCGAAATAATAATAATTAAAATCAATAACGCAAATAAAAATAAATAGACACGAGTAATGCGCTTTTTTCCCGCGAATTATTGATATAATCGCCAAATTAATTTAAATCTATACAATGTTTACGACCACAACGTGTCAAACCAAAGTTAACTAGCTATAATAGTAAATACACTTAACTTAAGGACGGGCCCATAGATCCTACACAATACAATAAATAAAATGTGGATGTAACCACGCCCTGCTACCAGACATGTAGAACAAAGTCTTTACTGCCGACCCAGAGGTCGCCGGCCGACTCGACTACACTTAATATTTATTTTAGCAAGTTTTCTTTTAACTGCCCCACGCTCCTATTTAATAAGCACCGCAACGCAGGACACAGAGGGAAGTGAACACTGTGGAATTAACTTGAAACTAGATTTCAATGAATAACAACAAGTAATACGCTCTAATGACGGGCCCGAAGCACCGTCTTACTATTCATAAGAAAATTACAATATTTTATATTCATATGTAATGGGCGCCCACAAAACTAACTCTACGGGGACAATTAATAATATAGTACAAATAATATATAATGTCATATCAACAAAATAATAAACAATGATGTTTTACAATGATAATGAATGATAGTGTAATCACCGGTCTCCTCGGTATCCGCTGATTAACATCGACAGTGTTGCCACTCGGTCCTTCTCAACGGTCCACTGGTCCACACGGCGATCTAACGCTGGCCACTGAGAATCCCACGATGGCCCACGAAGAGCAGGTTAAACCAATTAATTTTGCCGTGGTCCACGGGAGGCACCGTGAAATGTACGGTTGGAGACGCGGAAGACGACACGACCCGCACGTTGCCGGCACACAACGTGACACAGAATCGACGGCTTCAAACAAACACGATCACGAGACAACAAGTCGTTTTAGCGTGCATTCGGTGCGTACACTTAGTACAACGTACCACCGGTGATCGCCGAGAACTGTACACGGACGGATAGACCACAAAGGGAAAACAAGCAAAACGGCCACGGCCGATACGTAACTCAGCACGTTCAGAACCACCGATCACGTGGAAATAGTCTGTCGCGCAAGACCCGGACGTGACACGCGAGCCGGGGTTGCCGCAGCAAAAGTTGCGACGAACGGACAACAGTCAACAACGCACTAACGCGGTGGTGACGGGTTCGGGGTGAGCCGGCAGACAGCGATACAGATGGAACAGGCGGCGCGTGGTATCGAATGTTCTCGACGTGGAGTCGGCCGTAATTACCGATGACAATTGTTGTCATTAACGATATGGCGACCAAATTACGGCATTGTGTATTTCCACAGATATCCGACATTTATTATTACTTTTAGATAAGTTTTAATGTAATAATTAAACATGATATACGTAGCCTTGATTATATATATATATATATATATTATCTAATAAATCTGTAAATAGTTAAAAAAAATACTTACGATGTTTATCCTTAGTATGTCTGATGAGGTTATCTTTTCGCGTGAATATTTCTGAGCATATATTGCATGAAATCTTTTTGGAAACATCATGTGACTTGGCATGTCTGTGTAGATTTTTAATCATTGTAAAGGTTTTACCACATATATTACACGGGAACATGATTACGTTTGATGAAAACTGAAGAATACTAGTCGAACTCGCGAAACAAGTCTTTATCCTCCAACGAATAGATGGGTAATGAATTATAGAAAAATATACTGTACTTTAAATAGGTGACAGTGTGAAATAGTTTTATCTGAGCAAATTATTAACGTATGCGCTAATATCAGAACTAGTGGTGAAAAAATGAACTACGGTGTTCATTAAAGTAAAATAAATAATTTGATTTTTATAATACTTGTAAAATATTTGTATACACTTTAAAAACACTTAATAACTCTGAAATAACTCGACTTGATACTTGAACGGTAGTAAACGGATTGATCTCATATTGCTATGTGCACTATACATTATGGCTGGAATTCATCGACAATACTCGGATGTGTCACTACAGGCTTGTACAGGTCTGTAGTCGGATGATGTTGTTAGGGTGTGAGGACGGTTGGCGGGGTGTAAAATATAATTTAGGGTGGTACTCTGTTGGATTGGAATGTCTTATTGCTTATAACTAGGGCCCGGATTTTTATGCAAATGCATATTCTTCTACATTTGACGTATAATTCTGATTAAATATCTTGACGTTTCGTAAAACGTAGATTCTACTGTTAATTTTTTATTTTGCATATTTTTGCATATTTGCATAAAAATGCATAATAATTGCATATTTCGGGGTAATTACATAAAATGTGCATATTTAATAAATACTTGATAAAATATTTTAAATTTTACTCAAAGTTTGATATATATGCCGATTTTGCCCGATCGCCGACGTTCCTGACAAATATAATTCATTATATTAAATTATTCAATGATTCAATGAGTATATAATATTATGGCCTGAAAAAGTATTGCATGACAAAGTGTTATTGTTTGTCACAGACGCCGCTCCCTATATGGTAAAATATGGACATGCGCTTAAGGTATTTTATCCTAAACTAATCCATATTACTTGTATGGCCCATGGGCTTTATAGATTATCAGAAGCTATTAGGGATGAATTCTCAAATGTTGATTTGTTGATATCTAACACAAAAAAAGTTTTTTTAAAAGCACCTAGTCGTGTAGGTACTTTTAAAGAAAAATGTCCAAACTTAAGTTTACCCCCACAACCTATTATTACTTTTATTACATTATTTTACAACTTATTATTAATTATTCAATTTGATAATTTAAAAGCACATTTTGTTACATCATGTTGGTATTCTTTCAATAATTAATACAAATTTTTATGCTTTATACACATTTTAAAAAATGATGTTTAAATTGTATTTTTTTTCACTTAATACTATATTTTTAATTTTTGTATTTTTAAACAATACATTTTTTTGAATTTTTGAGTGCATATATATGTGCATATTTAACAAACATTTTTGCATAAAAATCCGGGCCCTACTTATAACTGTGACTATGTATGAGTTTGTGTGTGTGTGTGTGTGTGTGTGTGTGTGTGTGTGTGTGTGTGTGTGTGTGTGTGTGTGTGATACATTTCGATGTATAGCGTATGCTTTAGCGAGATGTTTATTCGAATTTGATTATAATCTGAAAATGGTATAATATTTTTAGATATATGTTATGTTGTTACCTTATATTATATTATGAGTATGTATGTATGTATGTATGTATGTATATGTGTATGTATGATATAGTCGAAACATGGTACATCAGAATATTATATTTATATTTTTTAAAAGGGTAGGTAATGTATTTGATTAGGAAGGGGTAAAATATATGTCAGATAAGTGTTCGAAATAGTCGAAACAAATGTACCTACATCAGAATATTATATTTTTTTTTTTTAAAGGGTAAATAAAAGGGGAGGTAATGCATTTTAAGGAGAAGGCGTAAAATATATGTCGGTCACGTGTCGGATCGGGTGGCGTGCGACGAGTTTATGTGTGTTGCGGGTTGCCTATATTGAGTAATTTATACAAGTTTGGGAGGAGGCTGTACTACGAATTGCCTATACAGAGGAGCCTATGCTTTTACATGTAAAATTTAAGGGGGAGGAGCTCCAGAACATACATAATCATCCTACTGATTCTGTCAACAGAATTACAAAATGTCAAAGCTTTGTTTAATAATTAAGTACAAAAGATGGATTTTCAAAAAGACTTACCAAATATTAAAGCTACAACATCGCAGAGTGGAAAACTGATGTTTTCCTTTAAATAATATTTATGAGTATTTAGAAAGTAACTTATCAGAAAATACCTTCTGCATAATTTTTCTAATTGTTTCCGATAACGAATCTCCAACTAGTCGATTTAATAATACAATCTGAAATATTAGTTCAAAGCCAGTTATTATAATACAAATAATAAATTTCAGTTATAATAAATAAATGTACATACAACTTGATTTTTGTAAGATTTATCCGTCATCAGCTTATCTTCCATTATTTCCAGTTCATTATCATATTCAATACAGATAATCTCATTAAATACATCGGAATCCCAGATTGTAGAGTGATGGGTAGATGGGTTGGAGAATTTTTCAAAGTAGGTCTCTAAAGCTGGCTACACAGTTTAGCCGCGCGCGGTCGTGGTTTAAATCCGCAGGGGATAACCGCCCAAGATTAAACATGGGTTATTCAATTGGCATATTCATACGGGCAAAACCGCGCCGCTGGTCTGCGCGGACGACCGCCTGTGTCCGCTCTTGTTTAAATTTCCAGCGGTCTACCGCTATCGCTTGCTAAAATTAAACTGTGTATTCTTAATGGACATACGCACATGGAGCGTAGTGTCCACGGCGGACCGCGGACGTGATTATGATTGAACGGGTTAATTTTATTTAAAAAATCATGATTGAAGTTTGGCTTATTCTAGTGATGAACCATTTTTCTGGGCTACCGAAGCTAGGTTCAAAATTATTGTATTCAACCTTCTATTATTTGAAAGCTTAGGAACTTGGTACCTACAAATGTGGATGGGCGCAGGCTAACCCCCTGTAGACCTGAACGCAAAAATCGTAAATTCATTGCTCCAATTTGACATTTTTACGATTTTCACAGTTTTAAAAACTATTCAATAATAATCAAGAGTATATTTTTTACATAAGTTTAAACATCATGCCAAGTTGACACAAGCCGAAGCAGGTACGTTGAAACCAGTCGACTTGAAAACATGTTCATACAAAACGAAAATAAATACGTAACATATTAATAAAAATAATAAATACTAAGTGATAAAATAAATATTATTCATGCATAATAAATAAGTCGTAGAATAATACTTACAGGTAATCACGATGTAACAATTATATAACAGGTCACTTTAATTATTTCAGGAACTAAAAAGAAGAACAAATATTTAAAACATAACCATATAAATAAGAAATATAAAATGAATAGGAACTCACCACCTACTTCTCGTACAGTTCAAAAGACGCTACAAACAAGAGAGTTCTTTCAGAAACTTATAATAGAGTTAATAACAGCACGCCACACACAATTAAATCATGGGGGAAGTGGGGAACAGTGACCTTACACTGTTTCAGAAGACACCTAAGGAGGGCGAATGAAGACATGACACACCCCTTTCCAAGACTAGTTTTAGAAAGAGTTATGGTTCATGTATGCAACTTCGTACACACGGTGGTTGAACGTCCGGACTACAACAGACCCATTTGTGTAGAATTAGGTTTGTTGTTAGAACAACTAATAATAAGAGGCGTGGCGATAAACCAGTAAACGATATAGTTCCAAGAAATAAAAAACATAAATGTATAATAATAGTATTAAATTACAGTGTTACTGACCTTAAGTAATAAATTTTATTTTAGCTCACAGATCCGGTTTTTTCTTAGTGGATTTCGAATTATTTACGGCTAGTAAAGAGGAAACATTATTGGTATCCGGGGCGATTTCAAATAGCCTAGAAAAATACCAGCCCAAGAAATTGGAAGGAAGTCCTCTTATACTTACAAAAGACGATAAGTTAAGAAGATTCTGGCTATGCGATCTTAAGAAAATAGTGCAAACAATCAAACGGGTATTCCGAGGAAAAAACGCAAGCGTGATTGCACCACTGTTGGACCAATTATACAAAAGTGTAAGCCACCAGGGGGAATCAACCTTGTCAACGGTTTACTTGCAAAGATATTTGCACATAGACAAGAGGGATCCAATAATGGTTTTCTGGAATGGAACGAAGGATATAACATTAATTAAACGGTTAAGAACAAAGGGTATTTTAGCATTTTTAAATATATCAGCATATAGTATTAAAAATAATGATGAATTTAATTTAGAACTAATAAATTTAGAAACTAAAAAGGTTTTATATTCAGAGTATTTAGGGAAAATGAATAAAAACGGTAGAATGTTAGGACTATCAGAAGCGCATGGATTAATGTGTGATACTAATCATAATATTACGTATTTTCATGACCCAGTTGCCGATGTAATTTTAACGAAATGCCTATTTAATTATGTGGTTTCAAAAATGAGACCCATATATTTATATAAGTTAGCGAAGAAATATAAAAAAAATTATTATAATCAGAATAAATGAATTATTATAGTTAATAAATAAGCTTTAGAAAATAAATTATATATATATTATGGTTATGGTAAATAAATAATTTAACACTTGTAATATTATTTTAGATTCGTTGAGGAATTAAAAAACATAATAAAAACAGAAGTACATATCTATAACTTTAAAGAAAATAAGATGCAGTCAGTATGTTTTAATTGGCATATATTGAAAGCGAACAAAAGATTAAATAACCGCTATGATCATAAAACTTTAAATAAAATAACAAGAAATCTTGAACTTTTTATAAATGATCACTGTAAAGGAGAATGTAAACATTTAGCAGAAATAATAGAAAAAACTAGGGACCCGAGTTATAAAATATACTATCCTAAGTAACAAAAAATTTAAGGTTGCATATGTGTATGACAATTTTAATAATTATTCATATAGATTTATTATACAAAATTAATTTGTGGAAGATAAAATTATTTTTATTGTAATCAATAGGAAATACTTACGTTATATACTTACATATATACTTACATTATATACTTACATTATATACTTACACTTTTAATATTGTAATTTCAGGTACAATACTATTTTATTATTTTTGAAGGACTATTGCTCCTTCTTACTAACACTAGTTATTTAGTAATTTATGTATTAATTTTGTTCTTACTAACACTGAACTAATCACGATATATAACTTTTAATATATATATAATAAATATGTAACAGTAATTATGTATGACACTAAAAATTGTAATGTCTACACTGTAATATCAAAATTGTAAACTATTATAACAAATTGTAATCAAATGTATGTCAAATTGTAAATCAAATATTGTGATTAATTAACTTAACTATGATTGTTAAAGATTCTTAACCCTTAAAGGTTAACAATATTTTTTTTGGTGGGGAGGTGTAATGGGATTACGCAATTCATGTACAACGCTCATAATAACAAGAACCACTTATGTAGAAAGCGGCCTCGTCGACCGCACCCAAAAGTGGTCATAGCTAGAATAGACGCTTCGAACCACAACAACTTCCCAAGGGCGCCTACATGCCACGCGCCGCTCAATTCAAAGGGCGTCGCCTTCATATATTCGTATATATAGAGGCCAGGTTCCCAATACAAATTAGATGCACCAGAGCCGCCAAGACCGAGACAGCAGCTTATGCACCGCCATTGCACACAGCCTTACACGGAGATTATCAACAACTACAACGAGTCAACTCACGACGCTGCAATTTCACCACGACTACATTAATTATTATTGGTTTTAATAAAGTACAATTGATTCATATTTAAATTGACTATATTTTATTGTAAAAGTGCAACAGCTTTTGGATCCCTGAAGGGCCGTTCGTAACAACTGTATGGACATTCGATAGTACATTTGAAACTTTTCTGGATGCGCTATTAGTATCATAAAGTTGACATTAAATTGTCCTTCTTGCGGCCTTCTCAAATTAATTGGATGTACCCAATAACGCCTTTTCGGTAATTTTGTTTTTTGCTTTTGAATTTTGATGTCGTTTGTGTAGAGCGTATGCAACAGCCACGGCTTCCACATCATCCAATAATTGTAAGTCCATTTTAAGTGCTTTACAAAGTTACAAATAGCTTTAAAACAAGTGTCTTTACTCTTTACTCAACTAAGTTTTCAGAGAAACTGATGCTCTTTACTCAACCACGTGCTAAGAGAAACGGATGAATCGTTCAATCGATCATACTATTAAAAAAAAAAAAAATTGGTTTGTTTATAAATGGTTTCCATGGGTTTTAAAACTAGTATAATAATAATTATAATTACTTTTAACTAAAAAGTAGAAAATAAAAAAATAAAAATAAACATTTTTTAAAAACACACTTTTCAAAATAAAACATATTTAAAAAAAAATATATTAAATAAACCAAAAAAATAATGAAAAATTTATTCATAAAATAATATGCTTATGTAGATAAAATAATGGTAAAAAGAAAATGGAAATGTTCATGGTTTTTTCTTAATTATTTATTAATAAGTGATCATCAATGAAAGTTAAAATAAAATAATCATATTCTTTTTTCTTGAACTTCAATTTCTAATTTCTGAATCACAATTTTAGTTCAAGATTATATAATTTAGTTTAAAAAAATAAACCAAATAAACATTTTAGCAAAAGGATTTAATATTTTTTTTAAAAAGTTGCTTTTATTTTAGAATCTAAAAATTAAAAGTTTTTTTTAACTGGTGTTTTTTATATTGTAAAATATTTTATTTATTGTTTAGAAATCATAAAACACACCACATACAATACTTACAATGATTTTTGAAAATTATCTATGCGTATTATTATATATCACAGTGAAACCGTTAAAATTAATTTTACCTTTATCACTCTCGACTTCGATAGAAGGGGATAATATTATTGATGATGTGCTTGTAGATATTTTAGTTGTTGGTACTTGTGTTGATGATTGGTGACTTGAATTGGTAGAATTGTTATGATGAAATATTTTCAATTTTTTATTGGCAATTCCTGATATTTCAGAAGTTTCTTCAGTGGATGTTTTCTTACTTTGTTTGAATTGCGGAATTTCAACATTTAATTTTGATATTAATGTTTTATTGTTAAATAAACAGAACTATCTTCATCAGAACTTGGACTGGATTCATTTCTTGCCATAGTGTATGATTTATCTTTATCAGAATCATTATCAATATTAAATAATGTAAAGTCTTCAGATTCTGTAAAATAGGTTGAGAGAAAGTAATGAATGTATAGTGTATAATATTATGTTGAGTAGAGAACAACATTTTTTTAAAACTTTTATGTCATGATCAAAACATTTTGAACGAAATTAATGCCTAAATATGATCTAAATTATATAATCTATAAATATGTTCATAAATCTTGGACAACTTATTAGTTTAAACTATTTGTAATATGTATACTGTAGTAATAGCCTATTACCATACATAATACAATTATAATTATATAAATAACAATAATAATTATTTATAAATACAATTAATGTTTATAATATTATTACCTTCAGAAATATGGCCAGGAGGACTTTGAATTTTGACAGGTTCATTTTTTTTATAAATTGATTTAGGTTTACGAATCCTTTTTAAGTTTGTGTTTACATCAAAATGTTCATTGGATGATATCCCAGAATTATCTTGAGCTACTGATCGAGCTTCTAAAAGATTAGCTACAAAAAAAACATACAGTTGAAGTTTAGTTAATAGTTATACATACTATATCTAGTACATATTATAAAGTAACTTAATTTTACAAAACAATAATTACACAATGAAAATATAAATCATTACCTATATCTGTGTGTAGAACCTTTGATTTAAAATGTGTAAACTCCAATTCATTTGGATTTACACGGCGCTCAATATTTTTTTGGATAAACTTATTTGGCCACGCACAATAGCCATCACGATACCAAAACTTAGGCACAGCTGCTACTGTGTTGTCCCCAGTAAAACATACTACACTCCACATATTTCTAAGATAAAAGTAAAATAAAATGTTTTACAAGCATAAGTATTAAATAAATATAAAAATATAATAATAAAGATATTTGTACAATGCTTTTTTGTCATAAACATATTAATGGTACCATACATAACTTTAAATTACAACAATTATTATATATATATATACACATTAAAACCTTAAAGAGAGATGAGATACATAATTTTACCTAGATAACTAATTTTAAATCTTAAACATAAATATGTATAAATAAGTAAGAAAAAAAACATTATACCTAATTAGGTTACAAGACACATTTAAAGTTTTAAAAAATTAAGCAATTATAAATACATTTAACACACACATAAAAAAAATAAATACTTATTTCAATATGGGCAGAGCCAACAATTTACCATCTATATTAAAAATCATAATATTTTTTTTAATATCTGATATATGCCATTGCATAGAGTTTTCAGATAAATTATTAACAACATATTATATATCTAGTTTTGATGATTTTATTGGTTTTTCAAACATATCACTTTTGCTATTAAATGATTTTCCAATAATAACTGATGAATTCGATAATATTTCAATAATTTGTACTATTTCACCTGCACTTGTTAGTATAAAACAATCTGGTTTCTTAACTGTGAATGGATTATGATCATGATTTCCAAATTTTATTTTGTCATTAATATAGATTTCATCACAACGTTTAATTATTTGCTGTAATGGTTTATCATGTTTTCGAATCATTTGTTTCAAAACTTTCATATAGTTCTCGAATGGAAAACAGCTACAGTTATCGAGAGGTCCATATTTGACATAATCATCTACTAAATGTAGTAAGCTATGTACATTATGTGATACAAAGTGGGAGCCATACATTTGTTCGAATGTTTTCACAAAATAATCCAAGAGTTTGGCGGCATAACCTACATATTTAGAATGATCAGTACTTAAGAGAATTCTCATTGCTATATTTAGTGTCATGAAATTTTGATAGCATTCATCAGATAAGATATATTTTAAAACCACTGGCCCTGTATAAAGGAGCAACTGCCCTCTGTTGCCTTATATCTAGGATATTCCTCAATTCCTCTTGGTTTGCGAACAAAATCATTTGTTATACAGTTGTGAATTTTGTTTAAAGAAGAAGATAATTTTTTTATTTTCAAACTTGATAGACGTACATTTGGCGGACCATTTTCATCCAAAGATTGATTAATTTTTTCATGACTCCTAAACAAGCTAAGTGCATGTAGTCAAGCGAAAATAAGTCTGTTACATTTATATTGGGTATTAACACAATAGATGATATTATAGGTGAAATATGGTGCTCTTCATTATTCATTGACACATAATCATCATGACTTCTTTTTTTATGAGCAATGGCATTATATGGAAAGCAAACTCTGTGGTTAATATATTCACCTTCATGTGTACATCTAGTACATGAAAAAAATCCTGAGTGTCCTTTTACAAGTAATAAAAAGCTTTTTGCCGGTACATCACAGCACATAACTTCAAGAGTTACCTTTTTTATCTTGTTGTTAATAGTAATGCCATTAGTGGTTAATTCTGGGGCTTCAGAAATTAAATCATAGAGAAAATCATTACTGTCTTGAGGTTTTTGATATCCGTAATATATTCCTATAGAAAATACATAGCTACAGTAAGGCATAATATAAGCTAAAATTGGCCATAATTGACCCGAACTACTTTTGCTAATTGGCAATCCGTCTACTCAGACAGTAATCTTAATGTGATCGCTTAATGGTAAGACTAATGAATACTTTATGATACCTTTTTAAGGCCTGGTTTCACTTCTCTAATATTTATAACTTTTGATGATCCACTTTTCAAAAGTGTACGGCAATCTTTTGGTAAAAATGTTAAAGGTGTTTCAAATTTCAAAATTGTCAGTAGTTTGTTAACAGTATTTTGAGGAACATTACAATTAACTGCCCATTGACCTAAGGATTGCTGAATACTCTCTTCTAGACTCTCTTCTTTACTATTTATGTGTGTGTTGCTATTAACATCTATCGGGATATTATTGATTACATTACATGACAACTCAGGTGATAAAAAATGTAATTGTGTATGTAAAGTATTTAATGAACTGTCAGCATTTTTGACATTAATTTGATAAAGAGAGTTTAAGTTTTGGTCATCATGAGCAATAGGTATTTCAGTAGAAAATGGTTTTATCACACAGTCAGTATCAGGTTCTGTTGCCAAATCATCACTAGACCAATTACCTAATAATTCAAGTTCATTTTGAATTTTTCTTCGTTTGGTTCTATAATAACTGGATGCTTTTTTCATATTGTTCATATTATATTAATATAATATATTGTTCAATATATTTTATGTTTGAATATCTTTACTCACTGTTATTAGTAAGTGTAATAGTATATAATGAACATACAGCCTAAATAACACATACAGATGTAATAATTAATATTTAATTCATAGGTAAAGAACCACTTGTCTTATAATTGTCACTATAATATGTATTAATATATACACAAGGTATTCAAAAAGTTTGGAAATGCTAAAAGAGAATGCTACAAACAGCGTGTTGTATCCACCTTAAAAATGTACAAGATTAGTATCTAAATTTGCATTCAGTAAAACCAATTTTGTGTTGTCAGCTTTAATATTAGAATAAAGTCACCTATTACCAAAATATATAAAGATTATAATATTATCTGAGGCATCTCATGGACCTATTGATATTTTAATTTTAAATTAAAATTAGTTATAACAAAGTACAATATTAAAACTTTAAAACACTCCACTCGCTTTAAAATGAAAAAATCAATATAAAACCCAATAATTGTCCTAGATAATTATCAGTGGCAATTAGTTCAATGACCATTTCCATAGTTTTTGAACATTAGTATACAGCTGTATATCCATAACAACTTAGGTAGGTAAAATTAAGTAGAAATGTAATATTATATTTATTTTTAATATTTATATTAAGTTACCTCCTTAATATAACCCAACCTAACTATTAAGGTTTTATTATGTAATTAATAATAGTTATTTATAATAAATACTTATTTAATATTTATTTTTATTTAAACTACCTAGGTACCTATTTAGACAATTGTAGACAAGTAACATTGTAAATTATATTAAACCGTGATAATTAATTTAAAAGAAATCAAGTATATCTACCTAGCTAAATAAAAAAATACTATCATAATCACATTTATATACATTAGGTAATAGGGATCTATTAAACAAAAAAACTGTTCGATGCTTCGTTACTAAATTAATGAAATGGTTCATGAGAACTCATTTCTCTGTTATAAACCAAAGGATATACTTAATATTTATATAAAGGCAGATGCCAGTATTCTACAACTGATGCTGCAGATTTACTTGACAAATAAAACAATATGTATTATAGAAAGCATTTAACAATAAATGTTGGGAAAATAAGTAGTCAATATAATGACATATCGTGTGATTTGTTCGACGACATGTTATATTGTACGTATTTACCATGAACTAAAAAAGATTTTCTTATTTCATAGTATTAAACAATTCTAAATCAGTTAACAAGTATGTATACTTAGGTATAAAGCAGTTGTGGATTAATAATTTATAGGTATATTTGCACGAATACATACCTGTTTGCTGTAAGTACAGAATACGACAACACGAGACACGAATTCTAATAAGTCACTTGAAATTATTGTAGTACGTAGACACGTAGGTAACGTAGTGTAATAAAATATAAATTACAGACACATGCTTTAGATCATTACAAAATAGTACAATACTACAATTGTGAATAGAATATTGAAATTTTAAGGTTAAGTTAGACCAGTGCACTGATTCATGGTATATAATAACGCGGCTATAGTCCGGCTCACGAAAAGTGGCGGCTGGCCGCCGTCATACCCCGAACCTCACCCACCGTGTAGACAGTGGTTCTCATTCTATTATTGCGATCCGGAACGGCGACGGCGCAGCACGAACTATTGGAGCTATTGTTCATTTTCAAACGTTGGGCATCCCTACGGACCACATTCCTCGTTTAAATGTTTTAAAACCTGTATATAAAGGGACGGATGGTTATGGAGGGTGGCATGTATGGTATGTTTAGTTGTATTCGCAACTGCTTGTGGCATAGTGGTTTCTTTGCATTAGTGTTGTTCAATGTTGCTGTGTACACGTCTGTTTACTGTCGTAATACGTTACAAATATATTCGTTTTTTAAAAACCTAGTGCTAGCTACGTATATATATATATTTTTTTTCATTAAAATGTCATTTAAAGATAAAGATCTACACAGCCAGAGTAAAAAAATAGTGTATAGTGTTTATTTATTTTTTAAAAAACTATCGGAATCCAAAGAACTGGACGCCAATTTTTTTCGAAAAACGTAAGACATTACTGCTGAGGCTTGCGGAATACCATTCAAGGTATTTGCTCAGAAGTGAAAAATATTGATGAATTACCAGAGACAGGCCCTTCTTTTTCATCTCCACGTAAGTTATACAAGCGGGCAAAGTATGTCTCAGAGTTGGATGATTTTGACAGCGATTTGGTAAGGAGGACAGTTCATGAATTTTACGACCGGCGTGAGTACCCTACATCACAATTAATACTCAATGACGTCAAGAGCAAAATTAATTACTCAGGAAGTCTAAGTTCAATTAAAAGACTCCTTAGAAATTTAAAATTTTCATATAAAAAATGTAATAACGGTCGTAAATTTTTGATGGAGCGTAACGATATAGTTGCGCTCAGATGTAAATTTTTAAGACAAATTTGTACAATGCGCAAAAATAAAGATTCTCGACCAATTGTGTATCTGGATGAAACATGGGTGAATCAAAATCATTCGAGGAGCATTGCATGGCAACATGATAGTATGGTGGGTCCGAAAATCCCTACTGGAAAAGGTGGACGTCTTATAGTTGTTCATGCAGGATGTGCCAAATATGGGTTCATTCAGAATTCAAAATTGGTTTTCCGTAGTAATACTGGCAATTCTACGGATTACCACAGCCAAATGAATTCTGAAGTATTCAAATCTTGGTTCACCCAAATGTTGAACAGCCTTGAAGAACCGTCAGTGATTGTTATGGATAATGAATCCTATCATTCAACCCTCGTCGACAACTTTCCCAAAAGTAATACGCGAAAAGCAGATGTGCAGGCTTGGTTGACCAAAAAAATGTCGATTTTTCACCATTGGAAAATCTGGCTGAACTTACACTAAAAGTTAAAGCTTTAATCCCATTTGAAAAGAAATATGAATTGGATGTATTGGCATTGGAAATGGGCCACGAAGTAATTCGACTTAAACCGTACCATTGCCAATACAATCCAATTGAGCTAATATGGGCCCAGGTAAAAAATCAAGTGGCGAAAAACAACAAAACATTCAAAATGGTTGATATAGAAAAGTTAACTCACGAGGCACTGGATTCGGTCACTCAACATGATTGGGAGAAGTGTGTGAGACATGCCGAAGCATTGCAAGACCAAGATAATGAAAAAGAAATTATGAGGGACAGTATGTTGGAGCCAATCATTTTGACTATTTTACCCGATGACAGCGATTGGAGGTCCAGTGACGATGAAGAAAATTCGGAATAACATTCGCAAATTCGGAATTACATATTAAAATTATATTCACTTGTATAGTTATTTTTTTTACTTTGCTATTATATTGTATTACATATGTTATGTTTATTTTGTTATTATTATTAATTAATATAATATAATATATACAAGTGTATTTGAAAAAGAGCGGTAAATTAAATTGTTGTTTGATAACCACTAGAACAAATAGTCCGCTTGGGTCGCGCCGGACAGCCGCCACTTTTCGTGAGCCGGACTATAGTACACTACATCACTATGATCGATGTCTATTATTAAACAACATTAATTCCATTTCAAAATAATATGATAACAACGTATAGAGTGATACGAGAAAATACGAAACGTTTCATAACGGTTTTCCGCCGAAGAGAATTATTATAATAACCTCGGATTAAGATAATATAATTTCTAATTATCATTTATCACGGTCTTGGGTTAGACCATAGAGTAATATCAGTCTATGTTTAAGACTGTGCTAATTATAATAGATCAATATAATAATATGATATACAATACAATGGATTGAGCCACAACTCAATATTTTGATGTACATGTTTAGCGACAAGTCTCCATGTTATGTAGCCTTTAATGCGCATGCGGAAACGACTAGTCGCATATTTTTCCCAATGATGTGATAAATATGAACATAAAACTTTAACTGATAAGAATATAAGATCATCAATTGTTTTTAAAAACAAGGAATTCAAATTTTCCAACTTAAAAGTAATAACAATAACTTTGGTTTGACGTTATTACGAATACTACGTTAGTTGTTTTAAAAATAAAAATAAAAATAATTATATTTTGATCTAAGGTTTTTATCTTATCCACCCTAATACAATATACATATAATAGTATACACCTGCTACATATAGCACCTACATTATATATTTGTTCTGGAGAGTTTGTTACTGTACGTTCAGTGTTGTTTGACGGGGTGGTTGTTTCTAATTTGTCGGATAATGATCGTTTTCTGGTTTCCTTTTCTAGAGGTTCCATTGATTGGTTGTTGATTTGATAATTTTGATTAGTGGTGGGTTCTATAAGGAATTGTTTAATTATTATCCTGTCTCCACTCAACCAGAATTGCATTATGGTTGCTTCTTCGTCGTCTTCTCTCAATAATTGAATTGAACATAAATTACCTACGTATACGGACAGATATGTTCCATCTGCTTGATCTAGTTTTTCACCGTCCATTGTTCCCTTGCAATTTATACGAATGGTTTGTAAATTACAGGTTTGTCTATAACTATCTGGTATCATTATATTGTTGTCCTTATAAGTCGTCATACCTTGTACTACAAGTTCTCCTAGTGGTGTCTTTTTATTAAGTATTATCTTATTCGCTCCTATTGTATCATATGTCACCCTTGCTTGTCCAAGAATCGCCAGTATACCAAATAATCTATAATATAATCAATTTGTTATCATTATATATTCTTTGTTTGCCAGTAGTTCTTCTGGTTTGGGGATTTACTTCATGTATCCTAACAATGTCCTATGAAACCCTTGTTCGTCCCTACTTCGTCCTAGCATATAAATCGTGCACTACTCCTAGTATAATTTTCAGTAAAAGTTCATCTGTCTTCCCTAGCACACAATTAGCTCAATTAATTAGGTTTAATTAACAATTAAAAACAAGATATCTAATTTAACTATAGGTATAATAAAATAACCAAAATATAAAATTA